CCGCCGCCACCACCCTTACCCCCACCCACGACTTCGGCTTCTACAACCCTTCCTCCTCCTCCTCCTCCTCCTCCGCCGCCGCCGCCGCCGCCAAGTGCAAGCGCAACATCAGGTTCCCCTCTGCAGCCTGGACCCCCACCGCCTCCACCACCGCCATCCGCGTATAGAGTACCGCTCATCAGACCTTCTAAACCTGCGAAGCGTCTGAAGCCATTCTTTTGGAATAAACTTTCAGCCCCGTCCTTGCAGTCCACTGTATGGAATGATGTCTCACCAGAGGCGTTTTTTGATCTGAGAGACCTCGAGGCTACTTTTGCCATCGACAATGCTCCAACGAGTGGCTCCCAGCTATCGGCTTCGTCAATGAGGAAGCAGTCGGTGACCACTCTGCTAGATATCACTCGCGCAAATAACATAGGTAGGCTCGCTGATTAGTGTTATTGAGTGGCCCTCACAATTCCTCTGTAGCCATAATGTTGTCACGCATCAAGCTGAGCTTGCCTGAAATTCGCACTGCGCTTCTCGTAATCGACGACAGCAAACTGAGTGTGGATGACTTGAGAGCTATCGGGAGACAGCTGCCTACAGCAGAAGAGGTCAGCATTCTCAACGCGCACTGTGTCGAGGTTGTTTACCGATGCAAGAATAGGTGACTCGGTTGAAGGATTTTGGCGAGATCAGCAAACTCGCGAAGGCTGATCAGTACTTCTACCAGGTACGCCGAAGATATGATTGCGGTATAAACTAACATTTCTTTAGATCATGACAATCCCGAGATTGTCGGAGCGCCTTGAATGTATGCTATACCGTCGGAAGCTTGAGCTCGAAATCGAGGAGATTCGGCCAGAACTCAATATCGTTCGCAATGCGTCGCATGAGTTGCGCTCTTCGACTAGATTTAAGAAGGTTTTACAGGTACTAATAGTCCAATTATGCCGGTTATTTGAGCTTAGTGTATTGTCCAAGGCGGTTCTTGCTGTCGGTAATGCTCTCAATGGCTCTACATTTCGTGGCGGTGCCAGAGGTTTCCAGCTTGAGGCTCTGACCAAGGTGAGCAGATAGCGATCCCAATGTGCTGGAGCCAAACTTACATAGAACAGATGAAAGAGACGAAGACGGCTAAAGGCGGCTCAGACTGCCCGACTTTATTGCACTATCTTGCAAGAGTGTTTCTCCGGAGCGATCCTTCCCTAATAACATTCATCGAGGACATGCCTCATCTAGAGGCCGCCGCTCGAGGTTTGTCGGATAAGTACCCTGACTTGCCGAGACTGACTTGCTATGAATTGTTAGTCTCAATTCAGACAACCACGTCAACCGTGACCTCTATGGCAGATGGCCTAAAGCAGGTCATTACTGAAATCTCTGTGTTGCAGAAAACAGGACTAGCGCCCCCCGACAACTTCATTGTCGTCATGCAGGTTTGTCGCTCTGTACCTCTTGGTCCATAATTTGGTTTCAAGTACGCACCTCCAGCCATTTGTGAGAAATATGAGCTCCAGCGTGGATGCTCTCAAGAATATGGCCAATGCTTTGGAGAACGAGCTACGCTCCCTGTTAGCATTTTATGGAGAGAATACCGATGCGCAAGATGCGCCGAAACCGGAAGATTTCTTTGGTCTTATCTTAAGCTTCTCTTCGTCGCTGCAGGTTTGACGTCCCCCGCTACCTTTTCTGCATGAGCTGATGGTTTTTGCAGAAAGCTGGGTTGGAAGTGCATGATGCAGAAGCTCGTCTGAATCCGCTTAAAGTAGGGATCAAAGTCGAGGAGGCACCCTTCCCCTCGACAGAGGGAGAATCTGTGAGTACCAACCACTTCTAGATTCACTTGACGTGCTCATTCTTGTTTTCCACAGACGATCAAGCAGACTGCAGACTCTCAATTATTACTGTCGCCTCCCCGCTCTCACAGTCGTGCTACCGGTACATCGGTTGGGCGTGGCGACCTCGACCAAGCCATCCGTAGCATGCGGACGGGTCAACGTAGAGCGCGAGCTCCGAATAGACCCCTCAGCAAGATCTTCGTCGATGGAGCACGGACCAGTCGCATCATCGAGTAGATGGTATGTAGTCTCATATTTACATGTACATGTGCTCGTTATATCTATGTTTTATCTACCTCGCTCTCTCACATGAACGCCCTAAGAATCCATAGAACTGTATGTAATCCGGAAGATGGGATAGGAATATATATCATCGGGAGCGTGTCCTCTATCGGTTTAAAGGTGAAACGACATCACACCTGGCGACACAATCTAGGAAGAGATTGAAGAACCCTTGGACCTATTCGCAAAGTTAGTTATAATGCATATCGGCAACAGTAACCTTACGTTGAGAGCTTCTGCGACAATGCAATTCTTGCCTGATCGACCCCAAGAATCGTCGCACTGACGGTAACTGCACACATCTACAACTGTCTCGCCTGCGGTATGAACCCCGTTGAGTTCTACATCTACCCTATATCTCTTGCAGGTGAACAGTTCAGGCTGTGCGACGTAGGCGATCGTTAAGGCATCGTGTAGTGGAGGTCCGTCAATAAATCCGAATGTGGATTTGTACGAATCCGCGAAGAATCCGATGAGGGTGAAGAGCATGTGACGTAACTTCGAGTCTGCTGCTGGAAGCACAGTGCTTGACGCAGCAGTGCTTGAAGAAAGAAGACGACGCATTATGTCATCTCTCACTATCGCAGTGTGGGTAACGTTGAGCGGAATCATAGTCTTCTTTACGGGGATGTCGAGAACAATTTGTGCGGCCTCAGCTGGGTGACGCAATCTTCGCGAGTGTGGTATACAAGTGGAACTCGGTCACTTACGATCACAGAGGATATTGAACTCTAGCAGTATATCAGATAATTTTGATATTCAGATGCACGTCCTACGTCAACTTACCGGCAGAAGGAGAACGATTTCCCAGACCGACACCACCACCCATAAACACAAATTCATCTACGCAAGTTGTGAAATGAAATGACAGATTTGGAGCAGGTAGACCGACCTATGCCATCTAGTAGGTCAGGATATACACTCACAAAAAGAGCGATGTTCGTCATGGGTCCAGAAGACACAACAGTCACTTTATTACCGACACCTTGCTTCCAGGTGGTACGAATGGCTTCCGCCATGCCTTCGAGTGCACGTATTGGAGCACCATGGGCGTCAAGACGTTCTCGGACTTCTGCGGATTGAACGGAAGGTAATCCAATTACGCCCCCAAGGCCGTCGATCCCATGAATCTCAGGATCGTGTCGTGCTGGTCGGAGCAACGGCTTTGTGGCCCCAGGACATACACGAATGTCCTTCGGAGCGTTAAAGGCGTGCAGGCACCGTGCAGCATTGTTGTTAGTGTTTTCGGCATCTGCGTTTCCGTGCACCTAGCGTCGGCAGGACATGTTAGCAAGCCAATCTAGTTTACGTTTAAGGCCGCAGAATGCACCGTTGAAATACCTAACAGCTGTATACCTGGAGAATGTACAGCCAACAAGATTGCCGTAGCATCGTCGTGTCCCTTTGGATCGCAGCGATCAGAGCGGAGCGTCCATTTGTTCGGGACTGATCAAACGCTCACAGGATCGCAATCAAGCCAAACAAATCTCGGCATGATGTTTAAACGAAAGAATCTGTCCAAGATTAACTGAGAGAAGAAAGAGTCAGAGTTGAACAAATAATGTTGCATAGACGACAAGACTTACAAGTTGGAACTGGGAGTGGCGGCGAGACGGTGGCTGGGACGATCCGAATCTCCGCCCCCACATGCTTAGTCAGCGAATTTTTGCCTTCCCACTTTGCCGCCGCGTGCAGCATTCAACTCTGCCTCGCCATGGAACCTCATTCTCGGTTTTCCCAGTTCAATAGCAGACAAACAAGGGCCGGCCCCCTTACCCACAATGCGCGTTACATGGAAGTCCAATCAAAACCAGTGGACCCTCTCGAGAATATCAAACAGCGTCCAACCCCCTCCAGAAAGTCTTCTTCCGCTTCCGCCTCTTCGCTGTATATGTCTAGACCCATCGCAACCAATTCTAGAATCAAGCAGGGTGTGTTCCATAACTTTGTTCTCCCTTTCAACACCTTAGACTATTGCGGCGACAGATGAACAGTACCGGAAGGATATGTACCTTGCATTTGTGAACAACGCCTTGCAGCAAAAGAAGAATGTGAGTCTGATTGAGCCATCTATCCGGAACCTCAAACACCTGACACCAAGTAGGGTATATCTGACGCATTCGACGAACTAGTCGATCAGTTCAATCCAAAGAAGTCCACCCCGGAAGCGGCGGCATTGCCTGCACAACAGCTCCAGCTCTGGATTCTTGCTCTCTCACATGTTGTGTCTCGTCTTGAACGATATCATTCAGCTCTCGTAGAAGCCATAGTGAACGTTCCCTGGACGACCATGGACACCAGCTTCGTAAAATCGTATACGTCGTTCATTGGAATGCTTGTCAGTGCGAGACCGGAATACCTTTCTCTCGTGCTGGGGAAAGTCGCGCATGGGTTCACTTATCGTGGGTCTATCCGTCATGACTACATCTAAATGCGTTGATTTCCTGTCATAGAATCTGGACTGCAAGCATTAGACTCTGGTCTGCCCACAAGCTCGTCGAGACCTCTAACTCGCCGCATTGTATACGATCGTATACACTTCCTGCTACAACACCTCCTATCTCTTGTACCCACGCTGCCCTCTACGCTCCACCCTCTTTTAGTACGCAATTTTCCACATAAAAGGCAAACCCAGGCGGCCCAGGTGACATATATCCGCAATATATTGAAAGTCACTGAGTATTGCCCTGAACTTACGGAAGGCATTTTCGCGACCATTATTGATCGTGCCATCCAGATCGATGTACGTACTCTCCAGTACGCATTGATTTATCATTGCAGCTCTGACCTAGGTTGCAGGTAGAGATACAAGTAGAGTTGGAAGAATTAGAAGAACAACTGGCATCACATGATCAAGAGGAGATTTTTGACTTGGACCCATTTGATACTGTTGTGGGGCAGGAAGGAGAAGATGCTGAATCGGATGCTGAATCTGATGGAGACGACGGAGATAATTTGAGCGACCTCTCATCGGATGCAGGTGGAGACGTTGGCGATGATGAGAGGCCTGCGAATAATGTCCCCATCGACTATCAGCGTGTGCAGTCAATGGTCAATAAGCTAGACGCCATCCTGAAGGATGTCCTGGATCATTTCAATCGTGGTATTGGCGCAAATTCTCCCTCTTCAATTTCTTCACCCAGATCGCGATCACCGCGGTCCGACTCACCTCTAGTCCCATCGGATCGCGCTCAAGCCATTCCAATAGAAATTGTCGAAGACGAAAAACCAATCCGACGGCAGGAATTCCACACATTGTTGTCGCTCTTCGATCGAACGATCCTCCGCACGTTCAAATCACGATACACGCAATTCCTCGTGTTCTGGTACTCCTCGCTGGATGCGGAGTTCAGCGACCTTTTCCAAGGAATGCTCGTGTCCAAGGCTCTGCTGGAGGAGGACCAGCCCGCAGTAACGCGCGCCGCAGCGGCAAGCTACATCGCGAGCTTCGTGAGCCGTGCGACATTCGTCGACCGCGAGAGCGCACGCCGTGTCGTTGCGTGTCTATGCAATTTTCTCGGGAGCAGGCTGGATATCCTCGATGCCGTGACAGACGCAGGCGCGGTGCCACCAAGCATGTCGCACCATAGTGTATTCTACGCGGTTGCGCAGGCCGTGTTTTTGATCTTTTGCTTCAGATGGCGGGATCTCCTGGAGGAGCATGATGATGTGGATGAGTTCGCCTCTGCAAGCGTGCCTGCGAAAAAGTGGATGACCGAGCTGGAGATTCTGCAGCGAGTGGTGATGTCTGAGCTTAACCCCCTCAAGGTATACCACAATTTGACTTTCTGCCTAGCACATCTGGTTAATCGCTTGTCATTTAACAGATGTGCTCTATTAATGTCGTCATGCAGTTCGCTCGCGTTGCACATGCGACAGGTTTCATATACTGTTATTCCATAATGGAAGCGAACAGGCGGTCAGAGTACGCACCCCAGAATGCGAGTGGCGGATCTCAATCTGGGAAGCGCGGGCCCGTTGTGCATCCCTCGATGCTCGGGCATTCGATAAATTCGGAACTGAATACCTTTTTCCCATTTGACCCCTACAAACTTCCCCGGTCTGGGTCATATATCCAAGGTGTCTATCGAGAGTGGTCGTCTGTTGCCATTGATGATGAGGACGATGACGATGAGGACGATGACGATGACGATGACGATGACGATGAGGACGAGAACGAGAACGAGCAGGCCAGTGAAGACGACGAAGATGAAGATGCGCTTGCAAACAGCAAACCGCAAGACATTGCGGTGAGTGGACTGCGACCGAACTCTGCTGATGACGAGGCGAATGGATTGGGAGCATCGTTTGGTGGGATGAGCATCAGCCCGAGGATGGTCGATATCATACCAATGAGCGTATCAGTCTCGTAGCAACGCGTGTCTGGTGGCTTCGATTTACTTCATGCTACATTATGGGACCTCTCAAAATGTGAGTGCTACATTACAACCTACATGCCGTGGTATACAATGCTGGATTAAGTTGAGTGTGGTCGATATTAGCTATATGGATAAGTCTGTGTCAAACATCGAACACTTCTCTCACAAGAAGGGAACGCTCTGCATCTCCCCGGCCGCCAAAAAATCCTCGTCAAACGCGTCTTCTGCTGCTCTCTCCTCGTTCTCTCCATGGTATGCATACCCGTCCTCTCCATCGTCGTCCATCCCGAAGTGAATATCATCGTCCGACACGGAGCCATCCGAGCCGGGCAGCGAGCCCGGCATACTTTCACGCCGCTTCCACCGCCGTTTCTTCTGCTTCTCGAGATCTGATTCCTCGTCTTCATCCTCTGAGCCCGAGTCGATGAACGTCGGTGTGCTCGAGCGTGGGCTGCTCAAGGGTGATGCGGACTGCGCCAGGCCGACCAGCGTCTGACTGAGCCGCTCGAACGACGACATCTGGCGCAGATGAGATTCTCGTCGCTCCTCAGCTAGGGCGTCTTTGGTAGCACCCTCAGTGGCGGGCGGAGGCAGCGTAAACGGCTTTAAACTGGGCTGTCTGCTGCCGCCAAGACTAAAGTGCCGCAAACGCGCTAGCGTGCTCTGGTTAGACGTGTCGGAGCGTGCACTAAGTGCGGGTGAAGGAGGAAACAGATCAGGAAGCGGAAAGTCTCGGACCGGGGTTTTCCAGTAGTTGAAGTCCGTATACTCCGGCGCCCACTTGCGATGGATGGGAGGGAACATTTGGTCGACCAAGTCGGTCATGTGAATGTACCTGAATATATAGCAAGTTTGTGAACACTGATCTACGATGGAGGACATCCACAGTACGCACGATGATTTATACCCCGCCAATTCGAGCAGCTCCATCTTGACCTCCCCGGTCGAATCTATGGTAAATATCCTAGAGCTCGGCACATTTACGCTCCTGTACGACAAGGCGTCTGTGATCCGGTTGCCGAACCCCGCGTAGAACGGGTTCTTTGCGGTATTCCCAAACAACTTCTGGATATCTCTAAGAGCGGCCATCTTAAAGACCTCAGGCTTCCTCATGATCACCTCGCTGTCTGGTGTGAGCGCCATGCTGCGCAACAAATCATGCATGCTAGACATACCGGTGAAGCGAAGCCATAAGTCTGTCGGGACTCATGATTACAGGCCCCTCGGGCAATTGGTAGTCATTCTGCTTGACACCCTTTAGATAGTCCCTAGTGGAGTCGGCTTGCCCGATTGCTCTCGAAGTGAGGTACATTATCTTGTATCCGTTCCGGCAGATATCCGTGTACAGTTTAGCCACACCGAGATGCGTCCAGTCGCGCCCAATCATAGTGAAGACATGACCCAGAGCATCGGATCTGTGAACATTATTTCAACATACAAGTAGGTGAAGGCAAATGCAGACACCTCTTACTTAGTGATAGTGCCATCAATATCAGATATTACAACCCGGTCCGTATAGTCCCAGACAAATAATCGGGCAGTGCACGCGACGGCCCCAGTTGCAGATAATGAGAAAGTAATACTGTTCGCCCCACTCTTCAGGTTGAGCGATTTCTGTGATAAGTGATTTTCATTAAATAGTCATCGCAGATTTCCGAGCAGGAGGCTCACCAACTGATCTGAAGTCAACCTCAGGGTCTTCGCAAATCTCTTTCTGCCCCGCTTCTCCTCGTCCGAAGAGGCATCAGGAGTGGGCGACCTTAACTCGGGGGACAATGGCATCGTCGGAGCCGCAGAAACAGAGCGCTTCGTAGGCGCAGGGATCGTGTCCAGGACCTCTGTCCTACTCCTTTGCTAATAAAAACACCTCAGTCCGCATATCGCTCTGTGCCGTAACGTGAGGCGTACCATAGTTGAAGGTGCTGTATTCATCGCCCTCAAATCTGGCCGCTGGGCATTCTCCGTTCTCCTGCTCCGACTCCACCACCGCACCCATGAGGACGAAGATGGCCGGGGAGCAGCGATATCACCGTTCGTAGGGGCAAACATGGTGGTACCCGACAAGTTCGCGGATGACCGTTTCAATTGCCGTCGCTCCTCATCGGAGTACGACGCTTCCTCCTGTATGTCCTTGAGTTGTGCGCCTGGCGAAGGCGATCGTGATTGTGACTGCGCGAGTTGCCCATGTAGTGCCGCATCCCGCCACAAGACAAGGGCATCCATGAGGGGCGATCCGTCCTTCCGGGTGATGTACCTGTATCGCAAAACACATTAGACGTCATGGATTATGCACTTAATCACTCACATTCCACCAGCCCATCTGAGCACCAGGTCCTCATCCCGCACAACCTGCTCGTCGTTCAAGAATTGTTGGAAGTCGAGCTTACCCTTGTCGAACCGATCCGCGTCTACGACCTCGTCTTCTCCACCTAAAGGCCCTCTTCCCCCGCCAATTCTCGTCCATCCAGCATTACTGACTATACTCAGCTCAAACTCAACCACTTTCCGTTCTATTGACACCCTAAACCTCGTAGGGTCCACACGATCAACCGCGAGTAGCCCACCCGCGCCATATCGTGTCTCCTCTCCCTCACTCCCTTCGCTGTCCGCATCCCCGCTAAACGATGCCGGCGATGCTACGAAGCCATCCGACGTCTCGTCCTCCTCGACATTCGTGTCTACCTCTAATTCCCTCATCCGGCCTTTCCCCTTCCTTTGGCTGCTCCGTGCGTCGCCGAACGGCGCAAACATTGTCGTCACCGGAGTCTTCTGTGGAAAATTGCCCCATTCCCACATGTACTCCTGCGCGCCTGCGGGTGGACGTAACGTCGGGATGCTTGCGTGCGGCCCAACTCGCGCTTTGGTTGCGTGCATCCGCGATATAGATGGGGAGCGAGATGGCGGCGTTGTGGGCGGAGTCAGTGCGGGTATCCCAGGGGTCATGTCCCCCGCGAACTCGAGAGGTGGCTCAGACGTTGCCCGGAAGCTTGGAAATGGAACTCGATCAGACGAAGATGTCGACGGAGATGGTGTACCTAGCGCATATAGTCAGACAATGCGCACAAAAATATAGAAACGACTCACGCGATGATCCTGGCGTACTACTAGACTCGTCGCCATGGCTTCTGGTGATTGTCTTCTCAGACCGGCTGCGTTCATGAGCATGGTAACCCTCTAGATCGAAGACCATGTCTGTAGTGCATCAGCATAGCTTTCATCTTGAATACTAGCTTCTCACCGTCAGTATAGACAATCTCAGGCCCACCAACATTGTCTGCATCTGGAAGGGCTTCGTCGCCCTGGCCCGCGAGAGAGCTGACTGTCGAATGTATTGCAGCATTGCAGGCAGAAGCAGCCTTCTCCTTCACGAATTCTGCCTCATCGTGCTCGACTTCTGCAATGGCCTCCTTGACCGTCTTGTCCTTCAACTTATCCCTCTCTGCCTTCTCCGTCTCGACAGCAAAGCCGATCGCCGCCTTTCCAAGCTGTGCTGTGCGCGCAAGGAGCGATGGTTTGCCGTTGTCATCATCCTGACCGTTGCTTGTCGATAGCGGGGACTGGGTCCCTGTCCCTAGTGGCTCTTCGATACTGGGTGCATTCAGATCGAGAAAGTCTGGTTCCTGCGTTGCACCGGTAGTCATCGCTTGTTCCATCTGCGCTTCCGGGCTTTCTTTCGCACCGAACCTACCTGCGCGCTCAACATCGGTATTGCTCTGTCCGGGCTGCGTTGCGGCGAGGATGGGACTGGTGACGAGGGCCTCGGGAACATCTTCGTCCGTCTCAAACACAAAGAATGCCTCACCGGCCTCGCCGATCTTCATCGAAAAGGGAATCGGTTGCCCATTGACGAAGACATTCACCTGCTCCCGGCGTCACTCGGGATCTACAGACGCTGCACAGCGCAACGTACCTTCTTGTCTCCCGGTCGGAGGACTTGCCATTTTCCAAACCTGACGTGGAAAGGCGAGCAAACAAGCTCGGAGTCGTCGTCGGTAGTCGGAGTGGAGCCATCTGCGTCGTGGGTCTTGGGACGGCGAACGACTATGACGTCGATGGCGCCGGTGAGGGTGGAGGGATTGAGATCTTTGTAGTACTGGTAGGGAGCACTGATGGCGCTGACAGCACCGCGGAGATAGTTCATGGGGATGAGAGAGGGAAGGAGGGCGGTGGCGCGGGCAGGACATCCATAAGAGCGCTGCGCTCACCCCAGCGGCCGCTCCTCGTCTGGGGCAAGACCCACGTGCGACGATGGCTTCCGGGCCATTCCCCGCCAACGTTCAGCCGAGCATATGCTCCTCCTCAACCTCTCTGCCCACGGGGGCCATCAACTGACTGTCATGATCCGGTTCTGAATCTTTGTTCTCCGTCGCCAACATGCATCGGACCACAATTCTACGTAGCTCATCATTATTTTACGCAACAAGTCACCGGAGTAACCATCGTCTGGGGAAACAGCGACTTGTCCATTGCACGTCGGTTGGGGGCCAATCCAGGCACAAACGCCGCGCCTCCCCCCCCCTCCCCAATGATACTGGTGACGAATTGCAAACCCGGGTCGGATGAGTACAAGAATATTATCAACGCGAATTTCTAGCGAATTAATGATGGTGACCCCGCCCATGGTCCTCGTTGAACTTCTCGTGCTCGAATACAGGTCCCAATGGTGGCTGTTCACACGTGCGTGAGCGTCGGGCTGAGTGCGATAGCGATACAGACCACATACCGGCACGTTGCGCTCCCTGCACAGTAAACGCATGAGTAAGACGGCATCAGTGAAACACTCCGATGTAGTAAGAAAAGCGCACCATTTCGTGCCGTCGACAGCCTCGGCGGCTGAAGAAAACAATTACACGTCTGTCGCGAGCGAGAGTGGCAGTAATACTCACGTCTGTAGGGATCCGGGTGGAGTCTTTCAGCGAGGTCCGCCTCTGCTTTGTCGAAAAGTGCAGCAAGCTCTCGCGGGTCATGCACATTCCTATACGACGTATCCAAGTATCCCAAGCATGAGAGCCTACAACTCCACCAAAACACAGCACACACCTGTTCCTCTCAAACTCCGCGCGGACAGCAATGGCCTTCCCTCTCCAGAGATCGCGGCTGACCGTCCAGTTCAGCTCATTTGTTAATATTCGTCGATACAAGGATTGCACGTAGCGCCGATGCGCTGTGGTGAATGGTGCAAGTGTTGCCATCGTACAAGTTGGTGAACTTTGAAGTCGACGTCGCACTTGCGCTCACACTGGACTGAAGGCACGTGATCGATAGATGCCTACCGAGCGAGAGTAAATCGGGAAGGTCGGCTTCAACTTGCGGCATTTAGCTTAGACAATTTACATGCTTCTTGAATGTAAATAGACAGAAATCCCAAGATACTCAACGGATCTTCTACCGGTTAGAGTGAACACGCTAGCGGTATTGAATATGAATGCGTGCTCCGATGAAAAACATCGGTTCGATCTAAGCTTATACTAGGTTTGCGTCGGCCCGTCGACTTGAAGCTTGAAGTTTCACTAAATTTTACCACTATTCGAATGGACCAGTCGCTTCTCAACGCTAATTATCTCGTGCATCATTTCTCTGCCGCTACGTGAGGATATCAGTCATTCCTCCGTTTGATATCCTGGTGTGCATGCCTTACACAATCCTGGCACTCGAAGGTTATTCTGCAAGTGTTATGGCATGCTCACAATACATAGCTCGTTAAATCCGAAGGGCAGCCTCGGAGGCAATTCGGACAAGCACGTTGAAAGCCCGGCTGAAGAGAGATATCTCATCATTCGAAAGCAGGGCGAAAAAAACAGCACACAGAACTCGGATGCAAGCTTTAAGGCTATAGTTCTTTGCATGCCGTAAAGAAAACGGAATGGAGGTGAGCCCACGACAGCACAGCGAGACAACAGCTCGAGAGAACGAATACTGAAGCGGCACCCACGTTGGCTATTCATCTAAATGGAGAGGGATTGACGGCCCCGAGGTGCTCAATCCAAACTTAGGATTACTAGGCTAGTATTGTAATATCCATCGGAGAGCACCTCTGATGCACTTCTAGCTGTCCAGTGAATACCGCACCTCACGCTCACTCTATCTAGGATGCGAGTACGCATTAGCATGTGTCATGCACAGCGGACGCACGGTACGCTCATGCGCCCGGCTTCTCGGTCGCCGGTGCGAACATCTTTGTTTGAGACCTGTGAAACAAAATCACTCGCATCGCTGCGAAGAAGACAGCTCCGACCATGGCGACAGCCTATAAGATAATTAGCCAGTGTGAGCACGAAAATACCACACGATGTGACTCACTCCACTGAACACGGCGGGTCGCCACCAGATATAGTTGTTTGTCAGAAGGGCACCGGAGATCGGAGTTCCTAGTGGCGCAGGCAAAGTGAGCGCGGATCGCAAGCTGACATTAGCCAGTGGGACTCACCAATGAGGCTTCCGACACCTTCGGAAAAGGTATCATCACATTGTTAGCTGGAGAAAATACTCAAATATGACGACAGACCTGAAAAGGCAAACGCGATGCCCATGCGCACCCTGAATGAGCCGTATAGGTGTCAGGATACCACTGACTGGTGGTCAACGACCAGGGAGCGGGCTGCACTCACCCTAGCTCGGCCACATTGTCCGTCAGCACAACCATAAGGGGTCCCATTAGGGCGATATCTGCAGGAAGAGGTGGAAAAACTGATCAACCACTGACTCGATCCCGCGGGATCGAGTCACTCACAAACGCCCGCAAAGAAGCCATAGATGATCCCGAGGACAACAACGCTAGCAACACTCTTGAGGCCGATCATGCCGAAGACAAGCACGGAACAGCAGAATGTGGCGACACAAATCATGTTTGCGATCCCAAGGCGGTGTGCGAAGAATCCGGGTGTGAGTCGGCCGACGAAACTACACCCATTCATGATGACAATCTGTATCGCGCAACATTCGGGGGCGGTTCAGTAAGCTGCGCAGGAAGAGCAAGAATGGGGATGCAGACAGAGTAGAATGAGAATGTATTGCTGAGCCCGTGTAGTGACGCATCCAGCTGGAGGTAGAAGAGCGGGAAGTAATAGCCGATCGAAAAGATTGCGAGTCTAGTGTGGTACGGCATTAATGGTTGAAGAGCAGAGGGACGAGGCCAGGGAAGAGATGCCTACCCCATTGTCGTACAGACGTATGCCGAGTCCTTCGAGAACTTCTTCGCCGCTTGTACGTAACTAATATGTTGCCTCGGCGGAGGCAGGCGCGGGTGCATCATGCAACATGCTATGAGCAAGCATCCGCTGATAAGACCCGCACTTGCGCGTACCGACGTGCCAAATCCGATGGATGATGAGAGCAAGTTATTGAGCATGATTGGGTGTATGACAGCACCGAAAGACGATCCGGAGGCAACGATGGTCATGGCTAGCGCGCGCTTTTTCTGGAAATAGTGCGACACGACGGCGACACTGGGGATATAGAGGGTTCCGGCGGCGAGCCCCATGCCGATACCTTGGGTCAAGAAGACCTGTCCGTCGAGTCAATTTCAGCCTTAGTGTGGAGGGGACACCCAACGCACCTGATAAAACTGATTTGGCTTCGTCAAGGACAGCATGAATATACAGAATGAGTACAAGATGGATCCACCGATCATGAGGTAGTAGCTGCATGCGGCATGCATTCAGTGGGGGTCGACAAGGGGCACCAAGACACGTACAAATAGCCCTTGTCAAAGAGTCTCCCAGATACGAGACCAAATCCAATAACTAGAAAGGCATTCACACTACCAATCCACCTATCCAATCTCCAATGAGAAAAATGGCTACAACTCCATCAAGCGACAACTCACGATATCGTCGAGGAGGTCTCATTGGTGATGTACGTCTGAGTGTAGTATGCTGTACAGAATACGCATAGGTATGACTAGAGCGAAAGCGCCTGTGAAATACAGAACTGATACACACCTTGATACACTCCGAACGATGTGGAATACCTGGGATCACCGGTAAGCGGAGTAGTGATACTGATTGTCTGGATCGCAGACTAACCCGAACCCGCAGAACTGAACCAGCCACCTGGAAGATGCGCTTGAAATCTCGGCATGTAGAGCGTGTATTGTGACGCTGACTTACGCGCCAGCGACTGTTGTCCAGCCCCTCCAACCACCTTCTTGGAAGACCGGCGCCTGTGGGACACTGGGACCACTTTCCTGCTCTTTACTTGCAATGGACCCTTCGATCGTGTTGACATGTGCGGGCTCCTGTACGACGATGTGTCCGCTGCGCGCTGCATGGTGATCGCTGCCGCTGTGTATGCTGGCCGAGTACGAATGAGAGCCCGACATGCCCACGAGGGAGAGCAGCAAGGGATGGCGACGATATCGCCCGGACAGGAGGATTTATATAGATTTTTGGCAGGTGACGGCGCGCGGGAAGCCCACAGGCTGAGGAGGAAAGAGCCGTCCATTGAGTGCAGAAATCCGTCAGCGTAAATGGATGAAGCTGGACTGATCAGCTACGGATCTGTCGCCTCCGATCGACATCTTTCTTTCAGTCGGAGCTTGAAGTAGAATACGATGAACTGAGCGTCTGTCTCGGCCTGTCGTCTGCTCCCCCGCTGGACACGGACGTCTGAGTCGTCCTCCATACCGTCAGCAGCCCTCTCCTTCTGACTCGACCGCCGTGTCAGTCTTGCTTGAATAACCCTAGTTCAAAAAAATCTCAGAAACTTGATCATCGTGTTGGAAACACTGTACAATACCAGCTGCTCTGTGACTTGGGTCATTCTCTGTGCGGCTTGGACCTCGGGAAATACAGGAGACACTTACAAATCATCCCCTCGCTTGGCGACCATGACTCTGATTGGAAAAAGAGTCGGCCAGTTGTCTGATTCGCGGTGATCCCTCGAAACTCTAGAGGTGCTGCTTTTGCTTTCGGCCGGGATGCAGAGAAGCTCAGGTTGCATTCCTGTTTTTATGGGGTCACATCAGTGTATCATGACCAGCATCTACTGTACCCATTTAAATTCTACGTTGCCTTTCATAGTACACTTCTTCCTGAAACTCACGAGATGATCGAGGACGTTTGGTTGGTAATGCATCTCCGCGTGTAGTAAGCTAGGCGGGAATTTAGCAACACCCATGGATAATCATGGTCGACAATAGTGTTAACCTTGATGCACTCCAAATGAGGTCATATATCTGACTGTCATTGACAATAAGAGTAAAAACATCTTACATTCAATCAAGAAACAAACCCAAAGCCGCAGAATCACGTCAGAGCTCTGTAAAGCTGGTTTACTAGTCGATGATACAGTGCATGCAGACTCACGCTCTTGCGATTGTTGTCCAAGCTCTCCATCAACCCTCAGGGAATATCTGCCCATAACCTACCTTCTCCGACGCAGGTTCATCCAATATTACACTGATAGATCGTTCGTGTTCCAATGGAGCGATGTGTGTCAAATCTTCGTCATGGGATGACTTGGGAGTGTCTTCCACAGACAGGGCACGAGAGCACGACATACTTGAGTGCAGTGGCGAGGGAATTAGACGAAATGTTCTACGATACATGCCAACGTTTTTATTCGAGCGAGTCGACTCGAGGAGTCGTGAGGTAGGCGCAATCCTCAAAAAGGAAGGTGTTGTGGTTAATATCGGCAACGTCCGCAAGCGACTCGAGCAGCATTGGCACCGAGCCGGCGAGCCTCCGCACCACACACCATGTCGTCTCAGGTTGCAAATGGCAAAGACGAGGACGACATTCCGCCCCCGCAGCGTCCACCTTCGCCTCCTCCGCACACAACGTTTGCTGCTCGCGGTCTCCATGTACGATTGCACACGGTCGCGCCCCCACTCTAGCTCGAGACGATCAATGACTTCTGTCGCAGGCCCCTACGTTCTCTGCATTCCGCCCTCGCGACATCCGCATACCGTCCCCGCAGTCTATGAACCACGTCGCTTGGAGCTGTGATGGGAAGAGACTGGGCGCGGTGGGCATTGACAAGGTTGTGCGCTTGTGGCATCCAGAAAAAAGCGTGAGCGACTGAGCATGGATTAGATGGATTATTACAATTCATCTAATATGAGTTGTCGCAGATGGAGATACGCTCGGCCTCTATGTTCTCGGGGGGTCACTCGGATGACGTCGACTACATCTCGTGGAACCCGACACATCCGGAGCTCTTCTGCACATCCAGCCAAAAAGACAGGAGAATCGTTTTTTGGGATGCTCGACGTGAGTTCACATCGCATTATTTCCACAAATTTGACCAACTGTAGAATTGCTGATTTCAGAGAGCCGCTACGTACAGCAACTGCAACTCAAGGTATCTCCTGCCCAAACGAGCTATTCTCCGGATGGCCGCACGATTCTATTTACCACTTCGGGAAAGCAACTTTTTATACTTGCATATGGAAAAGATGGGGAAGAGATCAAGGAGCTGTGGCGGCTGTCAGACAAGGATCCAGTGCGTTACACCTTGTATGCGCCTGGCCACGCTTTGATGATAAACAGATACCAGCATCGACGGCAACATTTAATCACGTCGGAGACGGTCTCGTTCTTACCCATCAATCTGAAGCATCGATACGTATACTGCAGTATCCGTCACTGGCATTGGTCCACAGTACGCCTGCGCATGTTGGTGGTTGCGTGGCAGCTGCGTTGGACCCCAGAGGCAGGTAAGTTGTCAGTGATTTGCGTACATCGTTTTACCAGGGCGATACAGGTATCTGGCTTCTGGGGGGCATGACTCCATCGTGAACATGTTCGACTTGTCAGAATGGATATGCACACGCACCATTACTGCCTGCGAGTAAGTCAGATAAACTGCCAGCTATTCCGTTGGCCTGTCCTTGACATATGTTCTCCACCAGCAATGCGATCACCGCGCTGAGCTTCTCGCATGATGGGGAATTCATCGCGATCGCCAATGCAGGTTCATACATCGACATTGTGTGTCATCATTTTAATATGTCACGCGGCTTATATGGCTGATGTGCGTTCCTGTGCAACTAACTCAGTGTGCAACGGAGACCGGCATGCCCTTGCACCGCGTCCCGGCTCTCGGGTCTTCGCCCACCGTGACATGGCATCCATCGAAATACGTGATTGCATATTGCGGGCAGACAAAGATTAGAGAAGGCGGACCACCGCCGTCGGCTTGGATCAGCCTATTTGGCCCTGGCATGTAGTGATATTTGAGAGATCTCGACACTAGCGATAATGTTATTCGTTATCTCCCTTCCGACATTGACGAATTTGACTGTTTGAACTTCATTGCAAGAGACTAAGTAAATGAGGCGCGACCATGCGCGAGTTAAATGTGCGTAGCACTAGTGACCATATAACAAGTACCGTAAAGTGTCTTCAAGTAATTGACTGAACACTGTTTCGTATGTGAGTAACAATCGTCATCGAGACTGAGACGCCGAACCATGTGGGCGCAGGAAAGGGGACATCAACAACTAGAAAGCGTGAAGCATTCAAGGAAGTGCAAAACAAGGAAAGCATAGATGAGAGCGTGGACGATGCGTATAACTATACAGTAACAGGACAGGCAGTAATCCACTATAGTGGGTCATTGGATGAGAGAATCAGCAGAGAGAAGGGGCATAGTGGCATATGACAGACAGAATAATCAGGGGGTTTCAAAACAGCCAGAGCGTGTGCACGAAAGCAGAAAAATAAGACAGCGATCTAAACCATAGTTCAAACAAAAGTGTCTGATTGGAATCAAATGTCAGCACGAGTCGGACGGGGCGCGTCGCTATGAGCGGAACGAAAGTCCCAGATCGTTACGATGGCTTTCCGAAGGTGGTCGAACGACGACGTCAGGGAGAGTCTCTATCTTCCGTAGAACCGCGCGCTCCTTCGTCGTGTCGTTGCGTGCGAGCTTCAGCGGCCGCAAGCCCTTGGCTTTCGATTGTACAGTAGGATTTGCATTCTCGTCATTCATGTTCTTCTGCTTCTTTTTCAGACTCAGCCCGCGTGTTTCAGAAACACCGTCCGTATTTGCGTCGCGGTCCTGCAGAAGGGACAGTGGTCGCAGACCACTGTTGGAAGAGTCGCGCGGCGATGCGGACGCTTGCTTCGCAGCTTTCGCCTTGTCTGCTTTGGCTCTGATCTTAGGTGCCAACGGGCGCACAGCGCGAGAAGACCACTCCGAGATGGCCTTAGGCGAAATAGTAGCAGGCTTTGATACCGGGGGAGTATTCTCGTCCGATTTGATGTATGTGATGCTTGAACGACTGCCACGCTTTGATCCTAAGGGGAGCTGAGGGACAGATGGTACATTTTGCGACGTCGGTCGGGATCGCTGTTTGGATTCATGAGGTGTGCTCTCGGCTTGTGGTCCCTGGGTATCCTCGAAGTCGAAGAGAGTGACCTCTGATGCAGCAAATTGCGGAGGCATCCGCAGTTCCTGATCCAGCGCTGTGATCAGAGTCGCAAGCGAATTCCGGGCAGTGCTCATGCCATCAGCAGCATCGACCGCAGCCAACAATGTGGGACCAAAGGTACTCGTTGAAGCCGGGCGTGGCGAAGATGCGCAAGCCACAGGTGGCGAGATGGGGCGCAAGAGCTCTTCTTCTTCACTGACCACATTGAGGTGTGTACCAATGTTGGCCACCAGCTCACCACCATAGACTGTGTTTCTTCTGCCAACTTCACTTGTAGTTGCAGCACTGTATGGGCCAAGCCTTGCATCCACAGCACGAGTGATATCGTTGCGCCATGTCGAAAGTGCATGTATGCCTTCCTTACCAAGACTTAAGCTAATAAAAGTCACGCATGTTTGAGTTTCAAGGCCAGTCGAAACTTAGAACCATCACATACCTGGGAAGACTGAAGTGGTGTCGCTTGTGGGCCGAAGTCTTCCTCTCTCGTGGCTTTGCCACCTTGCGGAGTGGTGGAGTCGAGTGCATCTCGGGCGAAGAGAACTCAGATGACAAACCGCCCAGCTCAGCAGGCACAATTCTAGAGTTCCTCGTCCAAAGTGAAGACAATCCCATCTTACTATTCCGGCTTCCAATGGAGACCGGGGATTCCCAGTTCCACTCGCGAACCCTCATGTCAGAGCCGACAGTCAAGCCGGGAACCAGTATAGGCAGTACACCGGCAGACAACGCATCAATCTCTGCAATGTTGTCATCGTCCACAGGCCGGAACGAGTAATCGAGCAAGGAGGACGAATGTGATTGCGACTTGCGATGGACGATCATACGAGCCTGTCGTTCTCGAAGCTCCTTCACAGACGGGGGTGTGGGAGGGAGAGGCGACAAAGGTGGTGGGCTCATTGGGAAGCGAGGATCACTGCGAGACTGAATCGAAGATATGGAACGCGAGCGTAGATGCTGCGAAGGACGGGTCGTCTCATTCGGTGCAGAATCCACACCCGTAGCAGCCACGTCAATCGCACCGGCGTCAGCCGCGATAGCATCCAGTGAGGCCCTATGCTCGGGAGATGGAGGAACTACCAGCGTCATTGCTAGAGTAGAATAGTGTTTTTGAGCAATCATGATTTGCGATGCAAGCGCCTCCGATCCACCGGAATAATAGGATGATGCCTTTGACTCTTTGCGGGGACGCCCATGCTTCCCGAGCTCCGCACTGTTCTCGGACTGAGGTGTATCAGGCACCCGTACAGGGGTGTTAGGCATTGACTGCATAGGAAGGGGCGGCGTCAGCGGCGCCTCTTGGATATCCTCTACAGGCAAAACAGCGAGCCTCGGAACAGGCTGAAGAAGTCCCAGAGCACGACTAATCTTGCTCCTGCCATCAATAGCATCACCGTTGGATACCCACACGTCTCCGCTGCGCCGACCCTCCACTACAGTGATGCTGCCGCTACGCTTATACTCGTGTGAGAACTTGAACGACGGTGCAGCGCTCATCGGAGAAGGCGCCCGCATCACAGCAGAGGGAGGCTCGTGGTAAGACTCAAAGAGTTGGGTCGGGATGGGGAACGGTGAACGCAGTATGACATGCAGAGCAAGAAGAGGGGAGGACAATGTCATTGAAACAATCAACGTGATGGAAGCTGCAGAGGAAGCCAGAGGCGCATGCAAAGTAACCATGAATACATATGGGAGCGACAAGACCTTATGTATAACATAAGCTCAAAAACCAGCAGAGCAAAAGAGGAATCAACGCACCAGTGGTACCCAAATGGTGATAAGCCATCCAATCGTGCGGAAGATTGATACGTCGAGATCGCTAGAATGTTTAGAAGCCAAACTACCAGGGTTACCCTCTGCGTCATAACCATACCCACCCAGAACTTGTGCGCTTGCCATTGCGGGAACGGACTGCGCAGCCGTAGTAGAGGGAAGTAGAAGATCCGGAGTAGTAGCAGAGGGAGGCGGCGAGCCGGGACAGGTCCTGGGGAAGGACCAAGCACTCAGCGTCGGCTGGTACGTAGACGGTTCTGTGAGCCATGACGACTGCGAGCCCATGCGATCGCGCGGTTCTCGTCTGAACGGGTCCGGATCGTCATGCAACTTGTCCGACGTTGGCGATGAAGAACGGTAAGGCGAGGGTAAAGGAGGAACAGGGGGGATAGGGGACTCGTGACCAGTGCAAGACATCGCTGGATTGAACCAGAAGGACGACTTGTGCGGGATAGAAGGCTGAGAGGCCATAGCCGGGTTCTGGGCCATGCGAACACTGCCATTGGATGGTTTGGCGGAATGGTGCGTTGAGAACGAGAATGCTGAGATAGATGTGCGACGGGAGCTGGCATGGGACGTGATCCAGGAACTGCCATCTTTGAGGACATCTATGTCTTCGGTTGCAAAAGAGGGCCTGGGTTTCTCCCCGATCTCCTTAGCGGGAGGCCAAGAATCTTGTGCTTCATCAAGAGCAGCTAGGTTCCGCTTGATGATAACCAAGGTAATGATGAGCCCGACGAATGCCATACTGCTCCCAATAGCGAGAATCGTTGTATAGGCAAAAAGACCCATGAAGAAGCTGGGGAGGCCTGTCGCGGAGAGAACGCCGGCGAGAGCAGTGGATGTTACGACCAGGAGAAGAGTGGGTGCCCAAAGCATCCAGTGGGTCTTTCCGAGGGCCACGGTGCGACCCATACGAACGTGCACTAATGTTATGGTAGCGACAATAAAGAGACACGTTTGTCTGAGTGTCAGAGCTAGCCAAAGTCTAACGGCACTGCTAGGATCCCGGGTAGCATCGTAATCGACCGAGTTGCTAAGGTATTCCGATACAACTTGCCAGATAAAAAGTGCGAGTGCCAAAACATCACAAGATGCGAGCCAGACGTGACTCTTTTCTGCTGGAGAAAGAGAGCGGAAGTTAGGAAGGCCAAATTCAGACTGCACACGGCCAGTTAGCTCCACTTTGACAGGGAAAAATAGGAATGATGTACTCACAGGACGAACCCGACGGCTGAGAGGATGAGGGGGTAAAATAGGAACTATGATACGGAGAACGACAAAAACGGAGGAGATGAAAGAAACAAAGGCGAGGGCGAGAGCAGGTACGAGAGGAATCATACTGTTCGTGGATTGACTTAATTCTTGACTCTTGAGGGAGCGTCGTGTGCGTTGAGGCGTGACTGGCGTAAGGCCTTCGTGAACCGTCGAGCAGAGGACAAGTCGAGGTTGAGCAGAACGAAGAGACAAGTTTGTTCGTCTGGCATTGCAATGAACTTGAACTCGAACCGTGGTAAACTTCAAAGTGCGGACCCACAAGACCACACTCGCCTCAAACAATGACATCGCGTCTCCGACTCGCGGTCCTCGTATCCTCGTCACGTGTCCGCGTTTTCCATACATGTGCTAGTGCCCAGTGGGCACTGCTGCTATTGCGGGTTCGGCCAGAACCACGGGGAGCGGGATTAGACACAAGCCGTCCACATGGAAGTTTTGTTGGATGATCATCAACCCTTCCGAATCAATCGGACTGCACACAGCATGACTTCGATTCTGGACACAGAATGTAAGTACTCAAACTTGCCGCGGCTAGTCGAAACCAGCCTTGAAGCTATTTCCATTCGGCGGCCCGATCATCGGGTAATATCCGGCCAATACTCTCGGTCGATTGGTACGGTCACCGCTGTGTCTGTAAAGATTGTGGAAGCGGTTGCGTGGGGGATATACTGTATTACTACCACATCGTGGCTGCCTCTCCATGCCTCTGATCTGCAGCCGTTAGTGTCATACAGCTGCCACGCTCTTCAAGAGGATGCGCGACATTCAGATTGCATTGAATGCCATCATGATGGTGACGCAAGCAAGTGCCAGTGCTAGTGCTCGCTCGGTCAATGCAGGCGCCCCCGAGTCCGAGCCGAAGGAAGACCAGACTTTAAGCGATCTAATCAACGCGGGAGTATTTAAGACCAGCGGTTTGCCAGACAATGGACAACTGCAGAGAAGCTCACTTCCCAGACTAATCCTACCATGTACAACGTCCCACTGTCCATATTGTGGCCGAGCAACGTGTGGAAGTTCTTCCGGGAACTGTATCCTTCGAAACCTCAGGTTTTTGCAATGTCTTGTGTGATAGCACTGGAAAATCTGACTATGGTCTACAGTGGTCCGCAGATGACATTCCTGATATGACAGGAAAAGTTGTGATCGTGACAGGTCAAAAATTTCAGCCGTATAGCTCACCAAGGAACCGAGCAAGCTAATTTTACGACGTTCCAGGTGCAAACGCGGGTCTTGGCCTTGAATCGGTGGTCGCCCTTGCCGCGCGCGGTGCCAAAGTTTATGCCACCGCCCGTTCACAAGAGAAGGGTGCCACGGCACTCAACCGTATCAACGCCCGTTTGTCGAATATGTCACAATCCACGCGCGGCGAGGTTCACTTTTTGTGTCTGGAGTTAAACGACTTGAATAGCGTCAAGGCTGCCGTAGAGGAATTCCTCAGGTACGTGAACATTGGTTGTCCTGGGGGAAGTGTTGTTTGCATTGCCAACGTTTGATAATATAAAGCAAAGAGAGCCGGCTCCATATTCTACTAAATAACGCTGGAATAATGTTGCCCAAGGAAGACAAGCCCATCAATGGCATCGATCTACAATTTGCTACAAATGGTGAGCTGACCGCGCATTACGAAACAGCAACTCAACATCCTAATCGGAAAATAGTGCTGGGACCATTTGCATTCACTCGCCTTCTCTTGCCCACTCTACTTCTAACAGCTAAACAATCAGAAGAGGGGACAGTGAGGATTGTCCACTTGGCCTCCATTGCCCACATGGCTGCTCCTCCAGTATGTTCATCTTATGAATGGATTCAATTGCACGTTGACATTCGCGATAGGGCGGTATCAGATTTGACGCAATGTCTGAAGGGAAGATTTTCCATCGTTACGCACAGTCGAAAATGGGGAATATTGTGTTTGCCAACGAAGTGGCTCGTCGATATACAGACTCCGGCGAGTATCTGAACATCGCTTTCAAGGGAGGAACCCGACTAATTGGAGCGTATCAAGGCCTCATTTCCGTGTCAATTAGTCCGGGAAACGTCAGCACAAACCTGTGGAGGCATCAGACATCTTTCTTCACTTGGAACGTACGTATATGTCCTCGCATTTACGAGCCGAGAGTTACTCATACCATAGTAGACGGCCGTGTCGAAGCATCCCCCCGCTAAGGGTGTATTGACACAGCTTTACGCTGCGACATCGCCAGAGGTGACGAGGGAGGATGCAGGAATATATTTTGCGCCATTTGGGAAGAGAAGCACCCCATTCAGAACTGAGGTATGTGAAACAGCTATCCACGGTTAAATAAGTTTTGACCTATGCGATCCAGGTGGATGATCCAGCTCTCGGCATGGCGCTTTGGGATTGGTGCGAAGGTCAGATGAAGAAACAAGGTATAGTGGCTTGAAGGCAGTCGAAGGTGTACGACAATGATTGTTTAGTAGCCGCAATATTTAACACATACCACACACTCTCTCATCCCAAATTGTGTCCCGATTGCGAGATGCGAACAGCAGATGCGTGAAGTCAGGAAATCCAATGTAAACGGATTGACGGAGAATGTCACTTTTGATCGTCTTGCAGCAATAGTTCTGCGCGTCGCCCGAGTGAACAGCTGACAACTCCGAACGAGAAAATGAGTTGACGAAAGGGCAGCCGGGAGAGGAAGAGCGCGGGAGACTTGTGGAGAGATGAGATGACTCGAACGACCGCAGTGCCTGAGAAGTCGCTGACAAATCGCCGCACCGCTCTGTCTTTGGCGCTCTGCTGCTTGTCGCTGTACTCTTTCCGCTCACTCGCCCTTGTCGACATCCACTACTTTCAGCTCATTCACCTCCGGTATACTCCCCCCTTGCCTTCTCCTCATATCCGGCTCATTCAAGTGAGTAATTTTATCGTTTTCTTGGTTGAATTTGGACTAATATTGTCTCCTGTTTTGTCTTGCAGTTTCTCAGTCATGGTCGCACCCGCATCGTCAATAGTATCGAAGTCTACCAACACTGTCGGCAAATCTCTGTCGAATTCACACGCAAGAAAAACACGTCCTGCGAGGCGAAGAGGGAGGGCAGCTCTCGGTGTGGAGAGCGATGAAGAAATTGAGCGTGAGGTGACCTCTGATGACAACTCGGATGACGATCGGTCTTCAGTTGAATCCGAGTCCGAGTCCGAGTCCGAATCGTTCTCGGATGATGCTCGCGTCAATGGTCGCTCTGAGGTGGTCACCCCCAGCACGACGCAAAGTCCCCCACCTCAGATTAATGGTCATGTTCCTCTCAAGAACGGAATGCAGTCCAAACCTATCAACTCTGGTCCCTTTGCAGCAGCGACAGACTGGGCAGATATGGTGACGGCTGAGCACGCAAATGGCGCAGAGGAGCTCCCCGTCATCGATTTTGCTGATCTTGATCAACACGGGATAGACCAGCCCATCATTGCTGGTCCTCATCTCCGCAAGACGCATAGGCAGGGGAAGAGGTCTCTTGCAAATCGTTCTAGTTCTGCGCCGCCAACGTCGCCACCCCAGCGAGATGACGGTCTTGTTGACGCACACGAAGATGGAGAGCCAGAGCCAGTGGCGTCCACGTCTGACCACCTGGGAGGGGTACATCTGTCGAGTCGTGTCCGCAGCCAGTCCGCTCGTCAGGCCTACCAGCAACGGTTGGAAACAGATCCTTCCTTTGTCCCAAAGGTCGGTGAGTTCTGGGGACATGATGACCGTCTGTTGGACAAGGATCTTCGCAGTCTCAGTGGTTGGTGGAGGGGGCGTTGGCAGACACGCGGTCGAGGACGAGGGGCGTTTGTTATGCGGGGACGGGCCAGCCGGGGATTTTACGGTGGTCGTGCGGGCCCTTATGGGCCAATCAAAAGTGGGGATGACGAAGTGGATCTGTCCATCCCCGACGCAGAGATTCCGCCTGTCGAGAAGACATGGACGCACGATGGCTTCGAAGAGATGAAACGACGGGACGAGAAGCGTCGCGAAGTGCTGCAGCAGCGGGCACAAGAACAAGATGGATCCCAGCAGCATGTTCGGTTTGGCCCGCAGCGAGGCTTTGCTCCCCGTGGAAGAGGTGGTTTTTTTGTACCTCGAGGTCGCGGTGGTTTCGTTCGCGGCGGATCACCAATAGGCGCTCGTGCCTCTCCCATTGCTCATGCCGCAGCAGGTCGCCCTTGGTTTGCTATGAAACCCGAACGTATGTGGACAAAACAGCACGAAGGATTTCTGTACTTTGATCCTGCATTAAAACCCCGTCCGGGCCAAGGCCCGGGCTTCCGCGTGAAGTTACCAGGCAGCGGCGATCATATTATCCGGGGACCTCCTCGTTCGTATCCGCCGTCGAAGGTGGCCTTCCCTGTTGCTGGTGGTGGATCACAGGATGGTAGTGGTGGGCACTTTGTTGTTCGTATCCCTCGTCCTGGCAAGGAGAAGGTATCGGAGGACTCTAACGAGATTTACCCGCAAAATTCTCTCGAGGCGGAACCTGCCACTACAATGGCCGAGCTGTCAATAGAAGAAGTTTTCACCGTTCGCCCAAATCTCGTTCCGAACAGAAGGGTCGACATTCCTATGCTTATGCCACCACCGATTGTCAACGTTGTTTCGCATGCAGAGTCGTCTGGAGTACCTTCATCGCCTGCCAGCATACCGATGTCTCAGGCGTCAACTCCTACCTCAAGTCTAAGGAAAGCGGAGTCGAACTCCCGACAACATCAGCGCGACCAGATGGAGCTTGAATCTCCACTAGTCCAGCCAACCAGTTCGTCCCCCAGCGCTCTCTTGAAGGAAACTGTACTGCGCCGCCCTTCATTGTCAGCCGAAGTTCCCACATCACCTGTTGTCCCAACAGAAGAATCGTCACGGCCTCCCCCTCCCACACTGCCTCCATTGCAGACGTCTTTTTCACCCGTTCCACAAACCTCACCGCCGTACGGTTCTCCGTATGCTTTTGGGCCCCCGGTTCCTCCTAACATGGGCATGCACCAACACGGCATGTCATATGAGCTCGCCGCTGGCCGTCCTTATTACTTCCATCAACAAACACCTCCGCCTATGTTTACCCCTCGCCCCATGATGCATCCACACGTACACCACCACACTGTCAATGCACCGTACATACCTCCACACATGTTTCCCCATTCGACCGCATCCCAGGACTTCCTCCCTCATTCACACACACCACCTCTGGGTTCGTTCTACGATCCAACAACGGGTGCTCCTATTTTCGCACCTGCACGTCAGAGCAGTCGTATTGAGATCCGTGCGCCAACGGAGGTTGGTGAGAGCAAGAAGTCGACCTCTCGTCCCTCCGGGCTTCGAGTTTCGATGTCAAGTACAGAGAGCTACCCCGCGCCTGAAGATCAGCAACCCTCATTGGAGGTGTCCCAGGACAGTGAAGAGGCGACAGCCACGAGCGAAGCACCACTATCTGAGCAACCACAGACGCAAGTATTGGAAGCACCTATGCCCTATCCACCTTACCAGCAGCAGTACTTTTATCCTGAGACTTACGCTTATCAGCCTTACATGGATATGTCGCCGCAGGTGATGCATTACGAGATGTACTCCGCCGACCATCGCCCTGCTCCTCCACCTATGATTTTCTATTAATCGCTTTACACGTCGCATTCCCGTTTTGCAATCTGCTCTATCATGTTCTGCATACTCATTATTTGCCCCATGCCTTGTGTCTGCGATTACGATACATCACCGCTGAGAGCCTCCGATTATTCCTCTCATACCCTCAATTCTGCTTTACTTTCCATCAATGTAGTTGCACTGCCCGCCTGCCCTCATGACTTTCACGTCCACACCTGGTTGCTCTGTTCTGAATTTTGGTTGTCTTTGGTTACTTGTGATTTTTACGCAATCGTATATACTGTTCCATGTCGAGACTTTGTAGCGTCGTAGACAGCTCTGTCACCAATTTTTGTCAAGAGAAAGAGCCCATGCAGCATAAATGTTTTGTGTAGAAACAGTCTTCTCAAATGTGGGTTCTCGTCTGCGGGCGACATCAGCGATTCTACTCCGTCTTTCTCTCCACCTTCGGTATTAATGCGAAATATCTCTTGTAGACCGAGTAGCGCCACTCAAGCGCTACTCCAGTGGGCGAGACGACCCATATCTCACTTTCCGTGCTTATCATACCGGTTATAAGCGTTCAGAAAGTGCTACCGCTCTGTTTAATTGAGCTTATGAGTGCAAATCCATCCGCGTGCATATTGCGCGGGATGAGCTTCCCGTTAGTTGTACTAACTGCCGTATAGAATGTCGAGATGGCGAGACCGACGAAAGGGGTGCAAATGGCTGTGGAGGCAAGGAAGGGGAGGAACCGTGCGGACTGTGCAGAGGATGTAGAAGAACACGACGAGACGTTCGCCAAGGAGCGTATTTAGGGCTGTTAGGGCTATCCGATCAATGGCAACTCCTGTTGTTAGCGGCATACTGTCAAGCGTACAAGGAAGCGCTTCTGTACGTTTGACGCACCAAAATCACTATAAGGAAGACGCGACCCATGAAGCACTTTCTTGATTATTTTCCTCCACTTCCAGGATGTAAGATCTATCCGACGCTGTCTCCAGCGAGTTGTTAACTGAAGGCGGAGCAAGCGAAATTAGAGCAACATACATGGATTCCTCAGTTCTAAGGCATACATTGAAGCATGATAGCGTCGGTGGCGAACACGTACTCATCCAGCATAGAATTTAAAGAACATGATCAGCGTCCAAACGGCCCGGCTTCGGGGGATATTCCTGAGGGGGGATGCTTCCCCCGCCCCGGAAAAAACATCAGTCGATTGTTGTGGAGCAGCGTGCAAAATTCCAGAACGCGATCCAGACTAGAATAAATACGTCCATTCTGACATTTGCGAGATAGAAGAAATGGTACTGGTGTAACAGAGTGGGCACAGAGACATAAATCAACTAACCGCAGGCTCTAAAACTTGCTTGCATACGTACAAGTATTCCCCGGGTTTAGCCATTGTCGCGGCTACAAACAAACCTGTAGATGCCTCGAGACCATGATTCCGCGTAGGAAGCCGATCCATAGAAGGGGCATATGAAGGATGGCAAAACAAGCATCACACAACCCGAGCTACAATCAAAATCGCAAAATTGAGTGATTATTCTCGCAGGCGAACATACTATTACGCTGGCTTATGTGAGTAGCAGACATAGTCATTTGAGTGCAAAAGCGCTCGACAGCTCGAAGCTTGAAGCTTGATCATCCGCCGGTACGGATTTTACGAGACATCATCAAATACACTGGGGCCTACTGCTCTCAGTACTTCAGTAGGGGTAGCAAGACGATGATCGACGGTGATGCCAGATCTCTGGCTGATCCTGGGCAGGCTGGTCACGCAGTTCGCATCACAAAACAGGCAAGCGCTGTAGAACGACGTCCTGTGCCAAAATCACAAGCTGCAGCAGCATATAAAGATACCATCTCACGAAATGGGACGCAGATACGAAAGAATATGATAGGTCAATAATCCACAAGCCACATATGTTATGTTCCCTCATCTGTCCCACTCGCATTCCCGTTTACCTTCGACGGGGAAGTCGTTCGTCCAGACGCAGCGTTCGCGCTGGCGCCCGTCCTATCTTTATTGCTACTAAGTAGCCTTTCGAAGAAGCTTTGCAACACCTCGTGCTGTGTTTGACCGCCTGGCGTGTTCGGTGAGCCTGAGAGAGATAGAGTAGGGGATGGTGCAGGAGATCGAGAATTTGAAGCAGCTAATGGCACAGCAAGAGTTGAGGTTGGCGGACGACCCGTAGAACGACTGAGTACTTTGCGTGATGAGTCACCACCAGCGTTCGAGCTAGTTACCCCTTCCATTTCCGTGAGTGCTCGCTCAACATTCGGCAGACTGGAAATGCTGGGGCCCATAGGCCCAACGATTCCAGCGGCGACGTTCTCGTTCGGATTTCTGAAAGCCCCGCGAGGATCTCTGTCTGGCTTCTTGGAATTCTCGTCGAAATTCTTCGCCAAGAAAACCTGCTCTGGTGTGGGACTATTGAAGGGAGGCAGTGGCGCTGGCTGATAATGCAATCAGTACAGGTGGTCATTCTGTGAGCAGAAAAGTAAGTCGAGACGCACTTTAGCACCCTGATCGGGTACGAGGACGCTATACATCTTCTTCGCTCCTGGTTCCGTCTCACCTTCTGCACCATCGATGTCCCGCTCCCATGCATCACCCCACAACTTAGCGTCAAATCCATCCCTCAGAACGCTTATCTTTCCCCAACTATCCCATCCTGCCGGTACAACAATTCTATCCCGATCCAGAGTATTTGGTTTATGTTGGAATAGGAAAGGATTTCTGGCTAGACCGGGCACATCTGAGCCTGAAGAGAAGCCCGGAGATGGCGCGGGAGGTGCGAACATAAGGTGAAGGGCGTATTGCCGCAGGATCTGTAAGGTATCTGGCTGAGGCGTTGTGTAGAAAAGCCCAGCGCCGTCTAGTCGTTTGGATGGTGTCAGAGAAACTATTGCAAATAAAAAGAACATACACTTCAAACACACTGTCCGTAGGACCTGCATCACACCGTCCGTCCGCTCCTCCCACTCATCACCTTTGCCCTTGACCATGCCGCCCATCCCAGATGTTCCAGCTCCTAGGACGTCATTGTTCTCATCTATAAGGTCGGCCTTTGTGCACGCGACGATGATAGGCACGCCCGCTGTATTGTGAGTAAACGTACCCGGTCCTAGAGGCAATACGGTACCGTTCAAGGAGGAAGTTGCCGGTAACGGGTCCGCAGTAGGTTCGATATAATGCTGCAAGTGCGCCTGTACTGGAAATAATTGCTGAAGGCGTTACGCAATGAATAGAAACACATACGCACGTCTGTCTCGATTCTCTTCACGAACAATGTCAAGCTCTCTTGAACCATCACCTTTTGCCCAGCTCTCTACCCACTCCAACCATATTTCAAGCTCTTCCACGAATGTCCATGGTTTTGTCCAATCCAGAACAATAATTATGAGAGTGTGCGACAACGACGCTCGTGGAGGTGTAAAATGTGGCAGTAGTGAAGTGTATGACGACGCGGAAGATGGCACTGTATAGACTGAAAGACGGGCAAGTATATCTAGACTCGAGGATACAAGAATCAGACTCACAGAATCACATGAAACAAAATGGACTGGGACTCACCTTCGTCGGCATCGTCTCGAACGTCCGCCCAGTCGTAGCCTAGTGCGAAGTTTGATCGTTGTTCCTCCTTGTCATGGTCGGCGGGAAATTTCTGAAGTAACGCGGACACGAGAGTTGATTTTCCTGAAGACGGCTGGCCTAGCACTACAATTTGCTTGGCTGGTATGGAGCGTGAGGTCGAGACAGAGTCGAGGATGGACGACCATAGATCTTGTGGCGGGGCTTCAGGCGAAGGTGGTCTTGAGTTATCCATGACGTACGTTCCCAGTACGTAACGATGAATGAGAACCTAGGTTTCACGAAGAAGCCCGTACAGATGAGTAGCCGGCTGCACGACTATAGAGAAAGTAGAGTTCAGCGCACAGCGACCGAGCCAGAGAGGATCCAGGGGGGCCAGGATCTGGACGCGAGACGAATATGTAGCCATTTCAAACTCCGGCCACGCGTCTCTCTTGCCCTCCATACTCATACTCATACTTACGACTCCGAGTCGAGTCCGCCTCTGTCACGCACCAAAGCACCTTAATATCTGGATGTAATGGCTTCTGCAGCTGTTTCTCCCCCCCACCACACGCTCAAAGAGTCTCCAAATTCGCGCACCATCGAGATCGGTGAATGGATCATTACGGCACAAACCAATCCCATCTCGAATGCCGGCGAACTAGACGCGCTTCAGGCTAAGATGGGTGGGATACCTCTGCCGGAGATGACTTTTGGAAATAATTCATTGGAGTTGGAACATAAGTCTACCGGATGGAAGTATGCCTTTACGACAGAGCAGGCTCTAAAGGCGGTGAAGAATGGCGACCTGGAAGATGGCGATGGAGGAGTCAAGGTTGGGTATGCAGAGGCATGGTTGAAAAGCCGGTGGGGTAGTACCTCAACTTAGATGTACGCGCTCTCACAGCGTATGTTGTCAGAACAGGGCCCTCGGCTGAGCTGCCAATGCCAAAGACTGTTCCTACAAAACCATATGATTGGACGTACACAACTATGTACTCGGGACATAATTTTCCGTCATCTCCGAACTCGCTTTCATGGCGTGTTGCCGACTCTGATAATCCCGTTCATACAATCCCACTGGCCGAGCTGACTCGCCAAGATCCTATATTATTTTATGCAGAAATCCCTCTTTACGAAGATGAGCTGCACGACAATGGATCTTCTAATCTTTTGGTTAGAATTGTGAGTCAGCCATCGCTCTCTGATTTCGCTGTAGTTTGTTGATACTGTCATGCGTGAAAGCGCGTCATGCCTACCTGTTTGTTCATTCTGTCTCGATTCGTTCTCCGGGTGGACCATGTCCTCTTTCGCGCGTATGACACGAGGATATACCATTCCTTTGCATCATCACCTCCTCTTGTTGTGCGTGAGACAAGCGGGTGGGAGGCGCCGTATGAATGGGTCAGGCGGGTGAGTTTTTGTTTTTATTAAACCTAAAATGATTTTTATCATCGTCATCCGAAACAGAGAGTCCCTAAAAGAGATGATCTGACTCCGTTGACGGATGTGACTTGGATCACGAAGATTCTAACTGAGATGCCCGCTGAGGTGTCTCAGAAAACGGGAGCTGGCACTAAATGGAGAGGTTTGGGCACGAGAGTGGAAATTTCCGTCTTAAAAATTCCGTCCTCCTGAGTCGGCGTAATGGTTGTCTGAGAGTTTGACGGTAATAATTCACCACTTTGAAGACATTGAGACATCGAGTCAGGAGGCACTCGCCATGAATCGCTCACGGGTCAAAATCTCGTATTCAATTTGTAGCAGCCTCATAGTTACTTCAGGTTAAATATAAGCGACGTAACAAATCTGTAGTCATCATCCGTGTGCTCTGCGAGATGAGATACATTTGAAGGAACACCCTAGTTTTGTGGCGGCGCGGTAAAGTCCGGCGCTCTGAGATCCACAGATTTCGTACTTCGACTTCACAACAATAGGGAAGTTCATAGTTGACGCAGCTGGGCTCGCAGAAAGTTCTGCGGCGCAGATGCGTCTTTAGGCGCTGAAGCAAATGCAAGAAAAGGTGCCCATGTCTCCTGCATCTAATGTCACGCTCAGATATACAATTGCTATTTTTCCTTTTCTGAGTC